TTCTTTGATCTTTGCTGTTATTGAGGAAAACAGCAACTTCATATCCGGTTGAGCTTCAGTTCTATTGCGGTACTTTGTTTTTGTCTAGGTGTAATGCGAAAATGAACTTGCACACGGATAAGTTGTAGCACATGAAAGAAGCATGGCGGCGGCCGTCTTCACTATTCCAGTGTACTAGTCCTTCGTTTTACACTAGAAATCCGACAACGACGCTGTGACTCTTCCTGAAGGGAAGAATTTGATACAAACTATTCCTACAATAGAATTGGACGATGAATATTCTGTGACACATTTTCAATATTCTTGTCACCAGCCAACGAAACAATCATACTCTGTAGCATCGCAGAGATAGTTTTTCTTTAATTCAAAAGGTTGCATGAACTCACTCGAGAAACACCGAAATCTCCACGCTTTTTAGCTTCCCTGGATGGAATCGCACCAATGGCCTTTCCAATTTCGGAGAATAGCGACTTTCGAAGTGACCGAAAAATGGGACCATATCTCATGTCTTATTTTTCGCCTCCTTCTGGGGAACAACTTCCGAGTTACCTGAGCTTGTGTGGATGGATAATCACCCACTCAACCTCTACCACACTTTCTGACATTTGACAGCTTCGTTCACTGACACTAAGATTCTGCCAAACCAAGGTTCCTTTTTGCAAGGATTTTACCATATATTGGCTAATCACAAGACCAATGTGGACCTTGAGGTATGATTTAAAACTTTTCACTGCAAGCTTATCATCGAGCTATAAACTAAAATGGTCACGTCCAAAACTAATTAACTACATTATAGCATTGCATGTAATCCCGCGGACCACACTTTGAGGGACACTGCCATGGATACAGCTGACTACTGAACACGCGCACTTATCTTGCTTGTAAATGCACTCACTAACAACACACCAGTCGAATAGTCACGTTCCGCTTTAAGATGCAATTCTACAATTACTATTTTTTATTATGCTTATAGGTTTCGATTTTCCTGGTTTTTCGCCTGGGGAATTACCTATGTTATTCGCAATGCCCAGTTGATCTAAACGGACTCTTCTACATCTATTCGCCTGGTGGCATCTGGTATTTTCACTGCTACCCTAGGTAGCACACTTCAATGCTAGTCCAGACATACCCATCTGCCACCATTTCACCTCCTTCAGAAGGACGATCGAATTACCATTCCCAATATCACGTAGTAGTATCGAACAGCTGCCTCGCATCCCGACAAACGGTCACACTGTAGGATGTTACCATATGTTCACTAGCGCACCACATATTCAGATCCATCCTAGTCTCCTTCAACTCCATCCGACGTGTATCGCTTCGACTATTTCCTTCATCCATTGGTGGCTGTTTTCGATGAATACTCATTCCCAACATTTGTATATTCTTGATGAACCAACAACAACCAATGCCTTCATACGATATTATCTTGACAAATGCGACATTTACTTGCATGTGCAAAAAATGTTACGTTACCCGTGATATTTTCTACCTGGTGTTCCCTCTACTTCTGTTTGAATACCTTAACGCTAAGTCTAGACTACTAGTGGTCACTTCTTGTTCTTTCTTTTTCGCCGTTTTGCGCATTCTACTCGCAGGGATTGAGTCATTTGGAATTTTGTAGCTTGCAATACGAACCACCGTTCTGTCTGTTTGTGATCATTTGCCCCTCTACAGAATTCAGTAGCAAATTTTTTGAAACAGTGTAGTTGTCTAAGTAGTACACTTAAATTCGTTTTACACGCTGCATGTCCGTTTAACAACACTACAACCTGGTGCATTTGACTCGCTACTAAGTAATCACTGTCCCTTGCTTCACTCCGGTGAAGCATTGTATTCCAGCAACGTGATGCTGAAATTGTGGGGAGGATTAGGCTCCTGTTTGTCAACCAACCAAGCGAAAAGCGTATGAACTGAGCAGTCAGTCGCCGGCTCCCAATGGCTGTGATTCCTTGTATTCGCCTCGCTGATTTGTAGACAATCTATTCAGCCAAAGGTTCGGGGTGGTTTCTCCTAAAACAACACTGTTCCTTGGCTTGGACAGCTGCGTAGGATCGTACCCTCTGTGTCGTGTTCGATTATTTTTTACAAGAACTGTACCTTCCTTTGATTCCCACGGTTTTTGATGGCACCATATATCTTTATATATATATATATTTATTTATTTATTTATTTATGTATATATATATATAGCGAGAGAGAGCCTATGGTGCGTTGAGGCTTGTCGTGGCTAGATCCTGACATATGATCTACCCACTGCTGCTACTGTTGCGCCATGGGCTAATGTCCTGGACGCCTCCTCGTGGCGACCGCTGGGTGGGAGTTAGGTTTCGCCCTTCTCCTCCCTGTTGAGGTCCAGGACACCAATCCGCATCAGTCACTGAGCGGACCATGTGCTAGACCCGCTGCCTTTCGGGTGTACATTTAATCGAAGACTTTGGCTAAGGACCCGAGTCGTTCTCCTGTCAAGTGTGGGCGCGCTGTCAGCATCCTAGTCCATCCTCTTCGTAGGTTAGGAAGTCTTCGAAGGCCCTCTTCCCTTAAAATCTAGCCATGGGAGACAACAGGTCTAGGGCTTATAAGCCCAAAGCTCGTTTGGCGTAGAGCACGAGCGCCAAGCATTGTCTCTGACGGTGGCAGAGCACTTCCGCGTGTTCAATAGTTTGCTACTGCCCGCCTCAAGCCAGACAGCCTCTGGTCAAATTAGTGCAAACACTCCAAAACCCACCTGCGTCTGGCCGTGGTCGCAGCTGCGTATCCTACTACCGTCGAAAAACATACATAAATCGTTCCAGTACCTCAAAGACTGCGTGTGACGGCCGTCAAGCAGATCCCAATCTGTCTTGGCAATCACATTCCCGAACTGGATCTGCTCCCTTGTGGGTAAGGCTATTGAGTCAAAGGCTCCGGGCAGAGTATCTCAAGCAAACCTCCAAATCACCCACTGTCTTGTGAGTAAGCCTATTGAGCCAAAGGCTCTGGGTGGAGTCCCTTAAACAAACATCCGAAGCACAACGACTACCTCGCGTGCGATTGCCCACCAATGCAATCGTATGTCTGCGCTCAAAGCACTCAGCATCAGGTGCTGGAACGTGCGCACACTACTGGACCGGAACTCCAGTGAGCGCCCAGAGCGACGTACCGCACTGGTAGCGACGGAACTGGCGCGTTACCACATTGATATTGCGGTGCTCTGTGAAACCCGGCTCGCTGAGCAAGGTAAGTTGCATGAAGCAGGTGCTGGCTACACATTCTACTGGGTGGGCAACGCCACCTCAACATCACGTGAACATGGGGTCGGATTTGCAATATCCGATCGCCTAAATGGCCAGCTGCTGCGTGAACAAGTAGGCATCAGTGCGCGACTGATGACTGTTCGCCTACGAATCGGAAGAGGTAAGTTTGCCACCTTTATAAGCACGTACGTTCCGACCATGTGTTATCCTGATGACACGCGTGATCAATTCTACACTCAGCTATCTTCCGTGATACGGTCTGTGCCGTGGAGCGACCGACTATTTCTGCTGGGTGATTTCAACGCGCGCGTTGGGCGTGATGCGTTGGTGTGGACAGATGTTATCGGTTCGTATGGCATTGGTTCAGAGAATGCTAACGGTCACAGGCTTCTCTCACTATGTGCCACTCACGGCCTGACGATCACGAACACTCAGTTTGCACTGAGCGCGAGTGATATAGCAACTTGGATGCACCCACGGAATAGTCACGCTCATCTGCTCGACTATGTCATCGTACGTCAGCAAGATATGCGTGAAGTGCGCATGACACGTGTACTGCGTGGAGCTGAGTGTGGCACTGATCACAAATTGGTGCGGACCAAGTGTACATATGTTTTCGTCAATCGATGTATTACACTCCCGCCGAGAATCGGCGTAAATCTAACATTCTCTCCCTCGGCACTGTGGAGAAACGTATTGAGATGGAGAAGACGATGGCTGAATGTCCGTGTAATGTGGACTGCATAGCCACAGTGGGCGACCTGTGGCACCACATTCGCGACCAGGTGACAGCTGCTGCCGAGTAGACAATTGGGCGCGCAAAGTGTAAGCGGCCTGATTGGTTTGACGAGAACAATGCGACAATCGGCGCATTGGTGTCGGAGAAGAATGCAGCATTTGCTGCACATGTGGCAGACCCCAATGCTTCCGGGAAGAATAGTCAGTTTCGCAAAGTTCGGCGGCGACTGACTTTGAACACGTCCTGATAACGCAAATTTGGTTTCCCCACATGCCCCTTCCCAATACTCAGCTGACTACATAATAGTTGTTTCGGTATCCGCATCGAATCGATACGGCTCACATGACCGCGCCATCTCAGGTGTCTCAACAGAAGTATACAGCCCACTGAATATATTCCACTTCGGTGCAACACTTCCGTGTCCGCAACTCTATCGCCCCATCCGATGCGCAAAATCCGTAGCAAACACTGTTGATGGAAACGCTCCAGTTATCGCACATCATGCCGGTACATATATATATATATATATATATATATATATATATATATATATATATATATATATATATAACTTTGCGTTCTCTGTTTTTTGTCCAGTGGTTCACCTACATCGTTCGCATTTGTTGTTTGTTCTCATTCGCTGGCCAGGACTGCTCGTCTCGCCGCATCATCTGCATTAGAGAGAATGTTTTTTGTTGTTTTATTCATTGATAACCCTTGTTCTTTCACTGTTCTGTCTGCATTAAACCCATGCTAATGTCGGCCCCTAGAGGATTTTGCTTTTCTAGATCTTTAGCCACTCATTCGGTTTTTGCATTTCCTATTTAGTTCCACAGCGCTGATCAGCTTTTTTTTGTTTCGTTTTTGTGTCCTTTTCTTTCGAACATCAAACGGAGATTATTTCACGGGAGGTCTGGCCACCCAGCAAAATTTCGGCCTTTATTTTTGGTATGGACAAACTTTGAGGGTGTTTCTCAAATTCTCAACCTGTATCCCACTGTTCTCCTCATACTTATTTTTACTAGGTGGGTCGTGGCTTCAACCGACACGCCTGGAATGATTTGGAAAAGTACGTGCGAGCCATCGCTCGGAACACCCACAATGTGGTGGTCGTCACCGGTCCTCTATTTCTGCCTCAGTGAGTCATCCCCGAGGACTTCCCACCCATTTTTCTTCCCACTAGGGGACGAACTCTGCGTTTGTGTTTTAAAAGTGATGACGGAATACCACCGATACTGGCTCGGCGTCGTATTCGCATTCGTTTGTATGTTGGCCTCCATTATCCACTATTGCATCACGAATCTCTCGTGACCGTGCCGCCATGGTTCCTCAAATAATTAACATAAGTAGATTTGCTTAACCAGGATTTCACTTATGTTCGAACTATATCGCGACTGATCAGTATCACATTCGTATTTCCCATGTGTTACACGCTCGATCGACTTTATTTCATCCTTTTAATGTCATAGCCATCTGTTTTGCAACGAGCACTCCTTTTACCAACGATTACACTGGGGCACTTTCACACAACGGGCTGCGCTACATAGCGAACGTCAGCTAACACAAGTTTTCACGCGTGACCGACTTCACTGTCACCCTACATGGAAGGCCGAAATAATTTGTGATGTCCCCCATTCCGGATTTCGTTCGGTTTGCTTAGTTGCCAGTCAAGCCATCTGAATGAGTAAACTGACGTTCAGGTCTACAATGATACATTTTTCAACTGTCATAAACGACGTCAGCGCACTCCGTACTGTAGAGCAATTAATTGGTGTCAAGTCAGGACTCAGTTTCCCATCTCTTCTGCATGGTTATTTCTCAGCCTCAGGATCGAATTTGCTATATTCTCTTCCGCTTCACACTGCTGAATCTTCTGCCATCGTAGAATCCCGTTGTATCGTATTCTATTACCCATGTTGCTCTAGAAGCCGAGCTAGCTAAATAGATGGGAGCCTGCTTCTCCCTTGTTGCTTTCCCCTGAGACCCGAATCCTCACTCGTTTTTTTCACTGGCAGAATCATAGGCTATTTGATCGGCTAACATTCACTCGCCATTTACACAAATACTGGGAAAGCGTAAATATCTCCCGATTCGCTTCAACTCTGACAAACTCTCATGGATGCCTGATAATCACACCACAAACTAAAACGGACAAACCTGCCAATATTCAGCAACCGTTGCAACCCCATGCTTCGTCCTACCGGGCTTCATAATCGCGGATTCCTGGCTTGAACTATCCAATGCAACATTTCACCCTGGTTCGTGCAATCGAGCCATATGCTGCCTTGCGACCATCGGGAGGTATACGACACTTCGAAGCCTACTAATACTCTACTACCACCCACGTCTAGCTTTATGCTTACCTTCGCTTAACGGATTTTGGGAAATCTTGAAACATGCATCTGGCCAGTTAGATTTCAGCTTATTTTTATGAAGCCCTTTGAGAAGAGGATCTGGCCGACAGTCAAATTCACGCAGCTTAGGGAGCAGGCCTGTACACAAACATGCTGTAATCCGATTCCACTATTGAAATTTCCACTGAATTTTATATGCGGGCGTCCCAGCTGCCGTTGACAGGGTCACATTCGAGTCTCGTTATGATTCTTACGTCTATCGGTCAGGTAATGAGGCAGTGTTTTTATTCTTTTGAACCCACAGAGTTGTATTCCATTTCATCACTCCTTCGTGATACCTAACAGCTCTCAGAGGGTTTTGACGGGTTAGGGCCTTTCTCGTCTTATTTTCCAGTTTTTGTGCTTTCAAATGTCAAAGTTTGAAGTTTTCACTGTCCCAACTCTAGCGCCAGTCCCGACGCAACCAAAAAATTTGTCACTTACGAAGTCATCGGGCCGAATGACGTGGCCGTTCCGACCCATTTTTTCAAAGCGATTTCCATCCAGGAAGCTCCAAACAGCTCATGGAAGATTTTTGCGTGGGTTCTCCCCAATATGGTACTACCAGAAAAGGTCGATCTCCGTCAGTTTCAGGTGCCTCTGTCTGCTGTAGAACGAGCTTCTGGGCTGAAGCTGTTCCCCAACTTGCCCCGGTGACATTTTTCTACCATAGTATGCTATTGTACTTTCTGTTACATGGTTCCTGTTCTATTTTTCCACTGTAAACGCTTTTGTGCAATACCATTTAACATTCAAATCCCGTCTTCCGGATACGAAACCGCCACCGTCAAACCCTACCCCTGTCCAAATTTTCTCGCTTTCCATCGTATTGTTTTACACTACTTGTGAGTAACCAGATTGTGCATGCATCAATAGAGATGTACCAGGCTGTTTCTGCTCGAAGTTCCCCCACTGCAGCGGCCCCGTCCACTCCCTGTCCCCAGACCTTGTCCATCCCAGTTATACAGTACTCGTGGTCTATCTCTCTGGTTGTCCACACCAATCTTTTAGAATGTATTGATCATAAATGCCCATCTCGTGTTCTGAACCTGTTATTTAGCTCTCTGTAAGTCAAAGCAAAGTTTGCGTGGCGATCACAAATCTGTACTGTATCGATACTCCTTAGTAGCAGTTTTTCACCGGTTATTTCTCATTGTCACATTTTGTGCCATGTTCAATGACTCGCATACGCTTTGCATACGCTTTGTCCGGTCCAGCCTGCCTTTAATCTGTCTAGCGCCACATTGAACTTAGCTCATGCTAGCCTACGCCACTACCCCGCTGTCTGTCTGTCTCCTTCGATTATAGTCAGCTCGCGTGCGTGGCTCTTGATTCGCACCGGCTCCGTCTGCTCGATTGACCAGACACCGCTGAACACCGTTTCGTCAGGCTGAGTTCGTTGGTGCGTACTTGCTTCTAGCTCGCTGTTGTTCGAGCTAATCCACTACCCCTAGGTCTAGCCAATTTGCTCTGTGACTGTCCCCATGGACGTCACAGTGACAGGCAAATCCGGATACGGACGCCGCGAAATCATATTATGTCTAACGATTGAGATCGTGATTGGAGGGGATGCTAAGCAGGAGGGGGGATGGGCAAAGGAACTCACAACACAAACGCCATTGGGGCCGGCCCCAAGGCATATCAGCAAGTGTGTCCAACCAAACGTGTTCACCGTCCTTAGGACCCCAGCCAGGCAGTCGGGATGCACCAACCGACGCCAACTTCAAAGTGAGGGTTTTCATCTCTCTCGACCAAGTCATCGCTTGGCCTCCCCTCCTCCTCTTCCAACCCCACCCACAACGCGCAAACAATACACTTCGCGGAAGTCGGTGTGTTGGCAAGCGCAACACGTGGCCCAACCATCGGAGCCTGGTGCGTTATATAATGGTGCTGAGCGGTTCACTCGCTCTTTCTGTACCAAACATGCGACGCCGAACACGCTCATTGCTCACGCGGTGCTCCCACCAGACATGAGCTAAGCTGAGAAGGCAGCGATGATCGAACGTGAGTAGCCTCTTTATGACTGTCTGTCGACTTGATGGGCCAGGTTTCACAATCATATAGGATAGTTGAACGAACGGCTGCGTTATAAACTCTGCTCTTCAGGGCGAGAGTAATGTCGCGTCTGCGCCACAGGTGGCGGAGATTGGCAAAAGCACCTCGAGCTTTTGCTATACGGTTCGTAACCTCATCTTCAATCGCACAGGTGCTAATACAGCTGCCCAGGTACTTGAATCCCTGAACGACTTCTAGCAGATCACCACCAAGTGTTAGCGCAGGGTTGGGTCCCTGCCAATCTTGGAGAAGTACTTTGCATTTCGATGGAGCAAAGCAAAGCCCAAAATGATTGACAACCAATACTAATCGGTCCAGTGCTGCTTGCCATGTTTTGGAGCTGTCACAGATTAGGGCAATATCGTCCGCATACTCCAAGTCGAGAAGTCGCTCACCAGGAAGTAGCTCCATACCTTCTAGGTCGTGTCCAGCGAACGCTGTTTCCATGGCTTCATCAGTAGCGAGGTTAAAGAGGAAAGGTGACAGCGGGCAACCTTGTATCACACCGCTGGTGATACGGAAGGGTGGCGGCAGTTTGCCATAAACCCTCACCCTTCCCGAACTATGCGCCTACACCTCTTTGCTAATATTTACATATTTATCAGGCACACCATTCCTCAGCAGACAGTCCCAAAGGGCACGTCGATCGACTGAGTCGAAGGCACCTTTTATATCAAGAAACACGACAACGGTGGGTCGTCAATAAACATGGCGGTGCTCCAACAATTGACGCAAGGTGAAGATATGGTCGATGCAGCTCCGACCTCGACGCAATCCGGTTTGCTCTTCCCGAATCTGGCTTTCACGAGTGTCAGTCAGTCTGTGGAGAATGACAGAGGCAAGCAATTTAGAGGCAATCGAAATCAGACTGAACCCTCTATGATTGCCGCATTCCAAACGGGAGCCTCCCTTGAAAATTGGGACAATGACGGAGCGGTTCCAGCCTGTCGGGACTGTCTCCTGCTCCCAAAGTTTCACTAGCAACTAGTGTAAAGCATCTACTAGAGCAGGTCCCCCGAATTTGAAGAGGGCTGGGGGAATTCTATATGCCCCTGCGGCCTTATGCAATTTCAGCAGGCTGATCTCACGTTCGAGTTCTGCGCGTGAGGGCGGATCCAAGGAGACGGCCCAGGGAGAAGGGCGCTCAATGCCCGAAAAAGAAACCGATAACTCAGGTTGGTTAGATTGCCTTGCAAAGTGTTCAGCCCAACGCTGCAAGTGTTTTGACAGGCTGTGGATCTGCTGCCCACTCTCGTCGCGTATGGTCTCGCTAACACCAGGTCTCCTACTGCCTGTTTCCCGTATCAGACGGAATAAGTTACGATGATTGCCAACGGTGGCAGTTGTTTCCATCTCAGAGGCACGATGAGACCACCAGGTTTCGCGGTCGTTCTTCCGGCTAGCACGCAGTTTTGCCCTGGGATTTTTGCGAGCTTCATTGTATTCGCTTCCAGCCGGAATACGTCGGCGAGCATCCATAAGTTTCAGACTGTGTAGAGACCCAATGTCCGGTTTGGCAATTTGCTTTGCCACATGAAGACATACCTGCTAACAATAACGTTTGACGAATTTGCGGCCAGTGATTTTCGACGGTGTTTAGGGGACGCGTACTCATCCCAGATGTCAGCGCACTTTGCTACACATTCAGAACACCTGGCTTCGCCAGCTGGCTGGTGTCAATCCGTTCACATCGACGTTGCGGACGTCCACCGAAACGCACCCGGAGGTCGGCGCAGACAAGTGCATGGTCAGAGTCCACGCTCGTGCTCCAAATCTAGCGACAGTTTTGGATACAGCCTCTCCAGCGGTAACTGATCGCGATATGGTCGATTTGCGTCCATGGTTGCTCCGAGGGTGGTGGCCGCCAAGTCACGCTTCTGCGGGTGCTGTGTCGAAAGTTAGTGCTCGCCAGAAAGAGGCGCGCATCTTCACACAGTTGTAGCAATCGCTCACCGTTGTTATTACGGGAGCCTACACCATGTTTGCCGGCCAGATGAAGCTCATCAGAGGACAATTTTCCGACTTGGGCGTTTAGATCGCCAGCTAACACCACAGTATCCGTGCTTCTTCTGTAACGAAGGAGCTCGTGAAGTTGCTGATAGAAATTGGTTTACCAAATCAGTGTTACAGTTTGTAGGAGCGTAGGCCGCAATGACAAACGACACGACAGGGGGGGTAGACGTTTATTGCACACCGAAAATGGGCACCTGAGGGTCTCGCGCGCGTCATCGAATATCGACTAGATTTCCGTCCCACAACGCAACACAGGTACGGATGTTAGAGACGAGCCAGTCTTTTCGCCTCGGGAGCTTTGACTTGGAAGATCGGCCTTCCTGTTTTCGCCTCGATCTCCACTTCTCTGTACCCGATTTGGCTCGGCCAGGAGTCGTTCGAGAGCTCTCGACTTGCTTGTTCTGGGCTGTGTCAATCGGCTCGGCCTCGGTCCTGTGGGCTGCGCTTGCGGCGTATATGTCTGATTTATTGCGCTGTCCACATATTCCCGCTCCGTAGATCCGGGCCCAGGCTCGTCGCTAGCCGTCCTTCTCGATCCGCTCTCAGCTAGCTCCGAAGAGCTCCCCCGACGCATTCTTGGAAGCGGCCCCTCTACAATGGAACGAACCAGTTAATTTAACGGCGCACATCCTACTGTGTACTGGGATCCAGACGAGCAGGGTAGCTTCAGCCCGGCCCTCAAAACAATGCCGACGACAGCTTGACCGGCATTTGAAGCTGCATCATCGCCAGATCGGCGGAATGAGAATGTGCCGTCAGTGTCACATGTGGGGGATCGCAGGGTAAGCACGGAACTCAAATCTTGCAGGCGGCTTTCTGATAAACAACAAATGTTGACCGATAGGGTCTCTAGTATTCCGGTAAGTGCTGCCTTTTGGCCAATCTGCAGCAAAGTGCGCATGTTGAGGCACGCCAGTCTTAGCGAGACGCGAGGATTCCAAAGGGAAACGGATGAACTGACGTTGTACGCTTGGTTGAACATGGACTTGTCGACTGGATGGGAGCGAGGCCCTGCGACTGTGTGTGCTTTGAAACTAGAAGACAAGCGACTAATGAAGCAAGGTGGGAGAGGGCCAAGAATTGAGGGATTGAAAATGGGGGAATAAAAGTAAAGTTGGAGCGGGACGCTAAGGATGAAGAAGCGCAAGAAGGAGGATAAGAAGACGGGAAAGCCTGAGTAGTAGCATCCAAACCCTTATCTACCCTGCCCGATGCAGCAGATAGGGCACCGTTGATTATCCTCTGCGACGGCCAGAGCATCAGAAATTTGTTTGAAGTGTGATTCATTGTATTGCGTGGGCAGAATACTGTCCGGTTGCCCAGGCCTAGACAGGAGAAAGATTAGGGTTCTCAACATAAGCCTTTGGTCCAAAAACCTGACCGCAAGGCAGCGGGTTTGGCGTTGGGCTACAAGGAGTCCGTCTTAAGGAATAGGGAGCCACTCTCATTCCAACCCCCAACCTGGAGGACCAGGAGACTGAGTTTTATGGCCTCTAACCATTGAGCAATCTGGTATGAGTGGCTCTGGACGTGCAAAAAAGCACCACCCAGCATAGCTCAATGGATCTCTGAGGCACGCAAAGCATCGCACCACGGTAAGGTCGAGTTGAAAACAACTGTATTCATCGACCACAAAAGTGTGTTCAACTCACTCGCCCGATCCCTTCTGCTTGTAATATTTGGACTGGGAGGTGTTCCTATGAAATATGTGAACATTTTACATGCCACGTACTCGAACACCACAGGCTGCTTCAGGGTCTACGGTGACTTACCATTTACCTTCCTGACAACAAATGGTGTTCACCAGGATTACTCTGTTTCCCTAGTTTTGCTCAACTTCGTCTTGGATTTCTTGCATTAACTCACGATGCGGGTGTTAACACCTGGTGGAAAACTGGTCAACTCCGATTATACGGACGATATTTTTTTTAACCGTTTTACGATACTGGGTTGGCCCAGCCAACCCTGGATAGCTTCTCTCATTTGGTACGTGCTTCACACCTTTAAATTGCAGGGATGTTGAAGAACCACAAGCCAGTTAACGCCCCCTTTGA